AGTGCACTTGGATATCTGATTGCAGGCAAAGAGATTAATGGAGAAAGAGAGCGCAAAAGCTCGCTCTCACTCTCTTGTCAGTTGTAAATCTCTCAATCAAATCTCTCCGATGGTTGCGCCGGTGCGCCTGTCAAAACTAATGACCTTCCCTGGTTCATTCTGATAGTGTTGTTCTGATGAATAAAAAGTTGATTAATTCAAGTTTTCTACCCAGGGGACTTCATGAATTTTCTCTAGATTTCGACACTGTTTTGTATCAAAAAATGTTTTTGGAAGTGTTTGACGGATATTCTTCATTACGCTTCAGTCGAAAGAAAACTCTTCGACTTCCTTGTGATAAAAACGAGAATTAGTTAAGTTTTGCAATTCCTCCTACTTTCGTTAAGGCGAAAAGGGCCATACAAGTTTTGTTTACACAAGATGCTAGACCCTTCAAATGTAACGGTAGGTAGTGATTAATATAGCAATAGAGAATAATGTCCTTCGAATTCATGGAGCATTGAAAAAAAAAACTAATAGGGGAAATGGCTCTAATGTTGGCCTATGGATCTAAAATTGGGCCCATTGAAAAAATTCTGCTATTTATCAATTGTATCTAGATGAACGCGTCATTAGGACGGTACTAATGGATATTTTTGGTCGCTAGCTGAATTTATGTATGGACCCAAATTAGGAGCATTTAGGTCGATATTACATCCATTTCCCCTATGTGGTTAACTATAACCAACAAAGTTTGGTGCACAGGTAAATAAATGAGGCACGCGACGCCTCTGAAAACTACACGACAGTTGTATTAACTTAAGGAATTTTAGAAACGTTGGTATTGGGGGCTCTTTAGGGAAGTTCCGAAAACTTTAGGAAAAATTTAAGAACTTAGGAACCGTTAAATTTACTTCTGAAAAAATGCAGGCACTTCAGAGATTTTCCAAGAACAACTGCAAAGTAGGTGTGAGCCCAATGAAAGTCAGGAAAATTTCGAAAAGACTAATGAAGTTCCGAGAGCGTTAGGACAATTTTAAAAACTTTAAGTCATGAGAAAAAAAAGACAGAATTTCTTGGAATTTCTAAGAATTTAAAGAAAGTTTCGAAAACTTGAGCGTAGTTCCGAAAACTTCAAGAGCGTCCAGAACTACGGGCAAGTTTTAAGATCTTTCAGATAAGTTCCGCTAGCTTCAGGGCAGTTCAATAGATTCCAGGAAAATTTCTAGAAATTTAATAAAGTTCAAAGAGCTTCAGGGCCGGTCCATTCACTTCGGGGAAATTGCAGAAACTTAACAGAAGATGCAATTACTTCACTGCCGCTCATGGCAAGTTTGCATCGTACCATTGCTCGGGACAACCAGTTTTGCTGTTTTTCCAAACCTAAGAAAAAAGTTGTTGAATTCATCTAGTTCACCCAAACTCAGTTTTGACAAAACCGCAAATGGGACCCACTTCTGATGAGTGGCAGTTCAGTGGAGTTAAAAGATCTTAAATGAAGTTCCGTAGCTTCGAGCAGTTCGGAGAACTCAGACCATGATGATCAGGAATTGCGGGAACTTTGGGGAAGTTCCGAAAACTCCAGGTGAATTTCGAGAATTGAATTCTGGAAACCAGTCAGTGGGAACGTAGAAGTTTCAAAAATTACTGAGAACAAAAGGACTGTTGGGAGAACTTAGGAAAAAATCACTGAAGTTGAAAGAAATTCACGGAGATCCAGGAAACGTCTGAATGTTTAGATCTTCAGGGCAGTTTTATTAATTTCAGGGTAATTACAGGTACATAACAGCAGAGTTAGCGGGAACTTCAGGGAAGATTAGATAACTTCAAGAGGGTGCACAACAATTTTAAGAAGAAGTTCAGAGGAATGAAAAAAAAATCCTAGGACTGCGGGATGATAAGGGAATTCCTGTAAAATTTTGGGCAAATCATCTTCAATTTCAAGGCGGATCCATCAGCTTCTAGGGAACTGCAGGAACTTTTATGAAGTTCTATGCCTTCAGGGGCATCCCGAAAAATCAAAAAATCATCTAAGAAGTCTGCAGAACTTTAGGAGAGTTTTGGAAACTTTCAAGTGATCTTCAGTGAAGCTCAGAAAAATTAAATTCTTAAATTTAGACTTTCGGGGAAGTTTAATGATCTGTAATTTTTGGGAGGGGATACTAAGTAGAGGTAAATCTAAGACCAGAAGGTCCCGAAGAAACGTGCTCAACTTTTTGGCTCAGCTCTGGTACTCTCTTCGGTCCCAAGCTAATCGATGTACCCCTCGAAACATAGGAAAATCCGCGAACCCCTCATTTTATCTGTCAAACTTTCATAGTGAATCAAAACAAACATAGTGTAGTACTAGAATTTCGACTAGAATGGAGTACGTTAATCGATTTGCTTCGAACCAATAGGATAGTCAAGTAGTGAGCCAATATAAAATCGTTAGTTTTCACCGGTTGGTAGAACTAAGAAGTTTTTTTTTTAACTAGTTCGTTTATTTGGAAGGCTCAATCACGTTAGCTTTACGGAGCCGATAGTTCATTGTTCTTTGTTTGTAACAAAATTCACTTAATTATATGTCTAGTAGGAGTTGGGCCAAATACTCGCGGCTTACTCGAGGTTAGAGAGGTACATTGTCGAAGGATAGGATCAGGGGAGGAGCTTGGGGGTAAGGTTTCGTTGTCTCATCAGAGCGTTGTCGCCAGTATGAACGGTAGTGCGGTTCTAGTTTCGTCTGGAGTTCGACCGGCTATGGTGACCAGTAGGCGACGCTGAGAGTCATCGAGACGGAGGTACAAGACAAACAAATACTATTAAAGAGAGACCAATACAAAGAAGTTTTGAAAAACTATAAGAACTCCGGGAAAAAAAAACTATAACTCCGGGAATTTCAGGGAATTCCAGAAAAATGCATTTTCATTATTTTCAGGCATGTACCGAGCATGTCAATCAGCTCCGTTAATTGATTGTAGGAACTTTCAAGAAATGCCAAGGAGTTATAGAATATTCCGAGAATTGCATTAATGTTCCAAAAATTTCTAAAAAAAATTGTGGGTTCTTCAGAGAAATTCCAACTATCAGGAAAATTGTTGGAATGAACGAAATTCTAGACAAGTCCAGGGAAGTTAACGGCGCCAATGGTGTAGTGGTAAGCGTGATTACCTCTCACCCCAGCAGGCCTGGGTTCAATCCCAGTCGGCGCCGCCGGGATGTTCTGAGGCATAACATCTCTGATCACGCCTTCCTTCGGATGGGAAGTAAAGCCGTTGGTCCCCGGTTCATGAGTTGATGGGTCGATAGGTAGGGTCCAGGTGTGGGACTGCCTTCCTGGCACGTCGGTAGCATTGGTGCTCAGCACGGAAAACAAGATCGACGGAAAAAATAAACCAAAGGAAAAAAAAAGTCCAGGGAAGCTCAATTTTAGAGTAAGTATTATAAGCTTCAAGGAAGTATGTGTCAACAACTTCAGGAAAATTGCAGAATGCAGTTCAATTAACTTCTGGCAAATTGCGGGAGCCTTTAAAAAATTCTGAGAAATTCAGGGAAGTTTTGAGAGCGGTATTGAATATTAGAGATCCTTAGAACAGTTCCATTTACTTCAGGGAAGCACCGATAACTTCAGAAAAGTCTAGACTAACATCAAGGTAATTTTAAAAATCCAGAAGACTTCATAATTTTGTTTTGGCTTCTCAGTCTTCAAGAGAAAGTTCTGATGACAGTTTTAAAATCTTCAACGTTTCGATCCAGGGGATATAATATTAGATCTTCCCTAGGGCTAGTTTTACATTAAGATCGTAAAGCTTTTTGTGCTGAACGAAAGACGGCATATTTTTTGTCCCCTGAGGAAGGCCAAGCTCAAAGACCGAAACGTTTTAAATAACACATCATAGCGTTTAGATTAGTATTTTTAAGTTTTATTGCGAGCTGATTGCAAACAAGTTTTAACCGTACTCTAGTTTAAGTTAGAGAGAACTAAATTTTGTGTAAATATCCAAATTACAATTATTTTTGCTCCTGAAAGGGGACGCATGGATTAGAGATGGACGGGCACAAATTCGGAGTGATTTGAGATTTGGGCGTAATTGCATTTGTAAACAAACACGTTAATTGCCGATTTCTCTTGAATTAAAGCTCAATCTCATAAACAACATATACCTAATGATAGAGGAATCATTCCTCTACCTCATAGTGTTATTAGTTTTCGAGATTGAGCTTTTATTCGCGAGAAATCGGCGAATGACGTGTTTAGTTACAAATGCATATACGTCCAATCTGATTTTTTTTAATTTTTGTTTTAGAGATGTTTAGCCTAAGGCTTGTTTATCAGTACGCCCAATCTCAAATCACTCCGGAAATATGAAAAATTAGTCAGTAATCAGCTCAAATTTACTAAAATCGTAGATAGTTTAAAGGGGACTTTGAGAATGGTTTTAAAGTAATACTGAGGAGATTTCCAAGGGAATTCTAAGTAGAGTTACATATTTGGAGATTTTCAACGTCAAATATTAGCCTTTAAGTAATCAAAGTATACATTTGATAGTTCCGTTAGTGTACGACTTTACCAAACTCGTTTACCTCCTATCCAGAATATTCAGTTGCTTTCTTGTCGACATCGGATCAATAGAAATTTGCAGATAATTCAATCAAGGGCTGGTATTAGAAATTAATTGTTGAACACGGCAGTAGAAATGGAATCAAATTAAAGATTCGGTAAAACCTTGATTACACTGAGTAAAAACAGGCACGATTTTAAGTAAATTTCACTCATATTCGACCAAATTTTGCTCGAATATGAGTGAAATTTACCAAAATTTGAGAAAATTTGCACATAGACTTTGAGTAACCGTGGATTCCTTTGCGAAACTGAGTAACGGAACTCAAATTTGTCATCGATTTTACGGCCATGTAAAAATAGTAACTACTGTTTGCCCGTTATTTTCGTCGCATACTGTACCTTCTGAAAATTTAAATTTACTCAATAATTGAATCAATCGTCATATAGAAATTAAAAAAAAATAATTCCCCATACTTACCAATATTGATATCACTGCCGGAGAAGGAATCCATGTGGAACGACAGCAGATACGCTCCCAGTAGGAAACCCAGCACCGGGCCAAAGGCAGCCATACTGTACATTGCACCTGAAAATCGGTACACGGTCACACACACACACACAGATCAAGAACAGTGTTAATTTCATTGGAAAGTTGAAATTCTATCCACAACACCACCGGACTCACCTATATACATCGAGGAGCTTTCTTTCCGCACGTGATCGTCAACGTACGTGGTGCCCAGCGTGAATAGGGGGCTCCCTCCTCCACCGAGCAGAATCTGCGCTATCACGAACAGAATCACCGGCCCGAACGTGGATGCTTTACCCTTGAGACAGTTGTCACCTCTGGAAAAATGGATTGACCGGTAAGTTACAAACGAACGACGAAGCAAGCAAGATTGGATTTACCTCAAGTTGTGCGTCGTGAGCGGTTGATTCGAGAGGCTATTGGACAACCGACCCAGTCCCATGTCCTGCTCCCGCACCGACACCAACCGGCAGATGTTGTCCGCGGTTTTATTGTCAATCAGAATGCCCGGATTGGGCTCCCCCGTAAAGTGCGGTATCATAAATACCAGCGAACCGATGCCCATTATCACGGCACCTGGTGGCAAGACAAGAATAATCGATTTAATGCGAGCCTATGATAGAAATGTTAAGCTCATACCGATTCCGATCCACACCGGAATGTGCCGCCGGCTGCCCAGATAGCTAACAAAGATAACTGTGATTACATTTCCAATCTCGTAGCTCGAAGCCACCAATCCGGATAGGCTCGATGGGATCTCAAATCGCTTCTCGATGGTCGTGATCACCGAGTTGATGTACCCGGAACTGAGTGCTTGCTGCAGGGTAACCAATATGGACAACAACAGCACAAACACCTTTATTCTGGCAAACTTCTGAATAGCCACCGGTCGACAGGTCAGAATGCCGCAGTCTCGCGAGTAGTCTTCGTTGACCAGCAGGTCGTTGGACAGAGGCTTCTCCATCATCATGACACTGTTCGAGGGCTGTCGGCTGTGGCACTTGATCACCGTATCCGTGGTGGCAGTGTTCACCGAGGTCGGCAACGATTCCGATTCGGTGTCCTGCGGGATGTCCGCACTGCTGTCGTCGGTTTGGGCCTCCGCGTACAGACCGGTCATCGCGTACATGGATTCGTTTCGCCTGTTACCGGGGGAAAGAGGAGGAGAATTATAGCCAATCAATCGTCTAATCCTAATTAATATACAACAATGTGGTGCTCGATGATTGAATCCGTCAACTCAAAGGGTGCTAGTTAAAATATAATTAACCTCATTTGAAAACTGATGTTTTCATTTCCAATTCTCATGCCTAAGTAACAACGAACTAGCTAGATATTACTGTTCAGTTCAAACTGATGAATTCCATAGCACACCATGCAGCTGTAATTAAGCTCCGGTTGTGTGTAGAATCAGTCGTGTCGATTCAATTAATTACATGGCAACTAAAGAGGAACAAGAGGTTCCTCGTTGATCTCTGTAGCACTTTCGAAATGAAATTCTACCGAAGGTCGTTCATTGGCTTGCTCACCACAGCACTGCTGCATGCTGTCGGTAACTGCCCAATCGTGCTCGATTCTCATTTATTTCCTGCGGAGAGCGGTCTGCGGCGATGGTTATCTAAAATTGTGTGTCGTCGTCCCTATTTCCAGCATTTTGCATTATTCCGTCGTAGTGGTGCTGCTGGTTAATGCGATGGTTTCGTAGAGTGAAACTGTTTAGCTCGACTGTGAAATCTAGAGAAATACTTTATGGTCCCCTCCGGGTTTGGCTTGGGTACATTGTTGTTCCCGGAAATCGAATTCGAAACGTTTGATCATCACATGAAGCTAGTGCTCACAATTGAAACCACATGTAGAATAGACGCTTACTGTTTGGGAAATGTCCGACCAAGAGAGACAGAAAGGTACTGAATGGTACGTTCCGATAATTACTATCTCGATGAAAAACCGCAAAGCAAATTTGCTGACTCTTGATTGGTATTTTGAGCAGCGTTGGGACAAAAATTTGAATGATACATGATTTTTTAAGTTCTGACCTCAAGATGTGTGAAGCGAGGGAAGGTTGTCAATTTGAGTTCAATTGAAGAATGGCTGTGACCGTGATGGGAGGACGGATGCAAGGTCACATCCTGAATCTGGAAGACCTGCCATCTTATTTTTGGCTTCATCTCGAAGGCAAAATATTAGAATTTTTGAATCGGCCTACTCGGATTTGTATGAACATTTGCGATATTGATTGTAATGGGCAATAATTCAATTTTTTGCTGAACCTCGGCCATCTTGGTAAAAGTAAAATTTTAAAAATGGCGTCCTTGATGTTCCAAACTATGGACCAAGGGGCAAGCCAGCTGTACTCAGAGCAAATTGTTTCGTAGCGAGTAAATTTGAGCAACTCATAATTACTCAAAATTGGTCAAAGTAGTCTCGCTTTTTTCGAAAAATACAAACCTTCAGTGAAAAATCCATACAGACGTCATCTACCCACCCGACATTTAATTTATTTGAGATGAAATCATGCATTTTTTAAATTTATGTATTGTTTCTTTTTTTGCGGTGTAGCTACACCGGGGCTACACCGCCGAAAACCGAAAAATTTTACACCTTTGTTTACAGACAATTGATGATGAGCTGTCAATGACTCGCACTTATTGCTGCTTACAAGTTCAGTATCCAACTGCTCTACCTTATGTGGTATACCACTTATATCTAACACCGAGATAGTTTGGAGGTAGATCTGCTACCTTGGACCTCGTTTCTTGGAGGGCGATGACACAAGGGTTCAGTTTCTTAGTCAATAGTTGGATCTCAGATAACTTTGATCGCAACCCATGGACATTCCATTGCAGTATTACGTTCGATGGCTCTTTACCATTCTGTTGTGGGACATAAGACATGGTAGCTTCTTATTACCGGTAACAGCATCGCTTTCGCGCTCCGATACCGAGTTTATAGGGGGAGAAGGTGCTGCAGTTTCTCCTCTTTTACGGCTCTTATAGCCACAAGTGTCCTCGAGGCCGGCGGTCTGTTTCCTTTTCCGGCAGGTCATGGGAACAGTAACCTCGCTCTCATCTGAGCCTACTCTTTCGAGTTGTCCAACAAGGGAAGCACATTCCATCTCAAGGCGAGTCTTCGACTCCTTGAGTTGTTTGATTTTCTCCTTGCCAAGGGCGACCTCCTTTCGCAGGCTTTCCACCAACTTTTCCAGGAGCTGTTTGTCCTTATCAGTTGGTGTTTCGGCATCAGGCAAGGGGTATGTGCTAACCTCTTGGGTTAGCACTTTGCCCTCCCTACCAGTATCCTTTCCACTCTTGGTAGCATCTCGCGCAAGGCCGGCAGGTGGACTAGCACCAACCCCAGTACTCTTGCACTGGGTAGTTCCCGCACCCTTAGCAGATGAAGCTCCATCTGTTCCCTTGCCCTGAGGGATCGATTTCGTAGCCCCCCTGCTTAGCCTTCTTCTTCTTCTTCTTTTGTTGAGGAAAAAAGGCACATACTGACCCTTACCAGAGTCAACAAATGCCGTCCCAGCAACCGCTGCGTAGGACTTCCCACTCCGTTCGTCACTGTAAACCTTCTTGGCATCCCCAAAGGAGACACCATGGTTTTGATCCTCAGAATATCAACTTCCTTCACGTCGGCTGATGATTGCCTTGACAATTGGAGCAGAAGGCTTTTGCTCCACATTTCTCGGCAACCGGGTGCGTCCCTGGTCTTGTTCTTACACCCAACACTGTAACACTGTGTTGTAACACTGCAAGGGCAAGGCATAGTACGCTCAGGTCCTCACGCTCAAGAAACCAAACTTAACCGTTTCCGGAAAGCTGGTCCCTTCGAAAGTCAACACCACCGATGAGGTGTGAACCTTTCCCTCGCCACTACCCTTGCAGATTCTGTGAACAGCTACTACCCCTTGTGTAGGAAAATGCTCCTTCAGAGTCTGCTCCGATTCTTTGATATTATCAACACTTGATACCACGCAACGAACTTTATTCAAAGTAGGGTGTGCACCCATCTGAACTTTGAATCCTCCGCTAAGTTCAGTGATCTGCTTCAGATTTTCAGCATCAGCAGGATCACTAACCTCTAGCACGAAACGCAAACCACCCCGATCCGTGTGAGCCTCAACGGTATGCCCAGCAGAACGCTGAACCGCTGAAGCCACATCGAGATGGTTCCACGCTACTTTATCGCCTCCTTCGACTGCCTCCATGAGGAGAACAATCGTCCCGCTGCGTTTATTTTTTGCCAGGGTCGTTCGACCCTCACTATAGCTGACTGTGTTTTTCATCAATCAACTATGTCGTACGGGAGAGGCCCTCTCTGGCCGAAGCCGCCGGAGTCTGCTCCCAATCTATACCCTTGGGAAAAAAATATAGGACAGTGCCTCACCCCTGTCACACTGAACGGAAACACTTAAGACGGGAGGTTCCATCTGCCAGCCCGAATCGCTCCGTTGCTTCAAACGTGGACGCTAGAAGAAGGTCCATACACTCTACCTACAGAATGCATTCATCCTGAACAAACTTTAGCCACACAAAATCCACTATCTACAATTGTTTAAAGTCCGGTAGACAACTGACTGCCGCCAGAAAGGCTGAGCACGGTGATCGGGTGGGCCTAAGACGTGACTAGGTCCAATCCTGCACACACTCCAAACCTTCGGACTCTCCTGTTCTTATTCGCGTTTCTGGCTACAACGCATCATAGCCAGCAACCCCACCGAGCACCGCGTGGAGGTAAGAATCGGAGTTCAGATGCACAGATATCGCAAGTCGCCGATCGTCTGGCAGAGCCTGACAACCATTGACGAGCGTATGCACCTGCTTTACACCGATGTAGTAGTATAGTAAAAACGAAAACGACATCAGTAAGATCACTTGCAGGACAGCTCATATCTGATAACAGATTGATCGATGCTATGTGACATAAATTCGTATAAGTCGTCAAGATATCGTAAAAATTATCAGTTTGCGATATGCTAAACTAAAATATCAAAATGTATATGCTAAACTAAAATATCAAAACATAATTTGATATATTTAGCTAAGATGTCCTGCTTCCTGATTGGGACCAGAATTGTTTACGAAACCTCAGTAAATTTGTGAAAATATATGAATATATCAAGATCACAGACAACGGAGATTTTAAAACCTGGACAAATTTTGAAGATATCGGACTTGAACGTTTAGATTACGGAGTTTAAAAAATCTAAATATTAGTGATTCAACGCTAATTGGACAATTAACGTTCCTGTCGCAGCTCTTCTTATCAGACTCTACATGCGGATTTTAATGAATTTTTGTAACAACAATTTGTTATCAAATCAAGCTGTGACCCTTTAGTGACTAAATTTCAAGAAATAGTGACTTTAGCGACTTTTTGATGAAAAAAAAAAAGCGATTGACTTTAAATAGTGACCCAGGCACAGAAAAGTGACCTGCTACCAACCCTGATTTAGAGGAAAAAAAACAGGATTGGAATTTTTCCAACAATAGTGGACTAATAAAAATAGCTCAAAATGTAAAATTTAGACAAATTTCCTAGATCCCAGATTTTCATAAATTTCCAAGATCCTAGATTTTGAAAAATAAACACAGGCCCTGAAAAATGTTGAAGGCTTGGAAAAATGTTCAGGGTTTGAATTATTACACCCAACCGGGGGATGTAAGATTCGCTTACAATTATGTGGGATTCATCATCGGAGGATGTTAGTTGGAGACCGCATGAACCGAGAGCTGCGATCTAATGCAAGATAATTTTTTTTCCTTTGGTTTGTTTTTTTTTCCGTTGATCTTGTTTTCCGTGCTGAGCACCAATGCTATCGACGTGCCAGGAAGGCAGCTCCCACACCTGGACCCTACCTATCGACTCATCAACTCATGAATCGGGGACCAACGGCTTTACTTCCCATCCGAAGGAAGGCGTGATCAGAGATGTTATGCCTCAGAACATCCCGGCGGCGCCGACTGGGATTGAACCTAGGCCTGCTGGGGTGAGAGGTAATCACGCTTACCACTACACCACCGGTGCCGAGAAAGAAAAATGAGGAGTGTACTAGTGAGTGAAATTGATAATGCGACTGGCGGACTCGAACGTTGCCGATTATCAGACCTGTACTTTCTCCACTGCTCTCTCCATGCTT